TTTGAATGGTCACTAAATGAACTGTTGTAAGTCAAGGGCTACCTATATAAGAACCAGCTGGGGTTCCATGAGAGACTAGAGGTAAAAAAAAAACCTGTTAACTCCAATACAATAAATCTTCTGTCACCAAAACTATGCTTTTCGATCACAGATTCCAGTTTTTTAAAAAAGAAACCTCTAAGAGGTTCCATTCCCTAAAGACATTAAAAAGCCTCTGCTCTAGATCACTTCTTCTAGTTAGCCAATTCATATCATGCCATTATGATGGATATAGCCAGCCATGAAACAATATTTATCAGAAGATGAACATGTGATGTACTTTAGTAGCCTTGATATTCTCCACCATAATATTCGACCTTTTACTGTGGTTCCAGATTGTCCCAATGCATAATTTTTATTGGGTAAGAATCATAATGAAGTTCATATGGGTGCATGAGACTTGTGCTGTGATTTAAAAATAAAATGCATTCATCAATAGATTGGCTTTCTTATGTACTGGACACCATCTAGAATGTTTTATAAAAGATTAACAAATGATGATTTGTATTGGTATTGCAAGAAATTTGAGGACAATTTAATCATATATTATGGCCATATTTTTGGTTATGCCCTTTTTGGAGTAATGTTACACATTACATTGACGGAATTATTGAGAAAATCCTAGTTTTTAAAGATGCCTACATTGTAGTCATTTATCCACTAATTACTTAGAACTTGACATGTTCAGAACAAAGGAGAGTTTTCATGTTTTAACAATAGCAAAAAGTATAATCCTTAGATGAGAAGATACTATAATTCCAGGTATGAAGGACTGGATTTCAGAGATGCATGATTTAGGAATTTTTGAGGGAAATTATATATTTGGTTAATCAAGAATTGTCACTTTCTCTTCCTTTGGGAAACATTTTTTGAATATTGATGGTCAATATTTTTTTAAAATGTTCCTTTTGAAAGATTTGTAAAATCAGGTGAACTTGGGGTATAGCTGTAACTATAGTTTCTCTGTGTGTTTCAAATGTATTATTACTTAAAGTTTTTCTTTTATATATGGTAATTTTATTGTATGTGTGTCTGAAAATGAATCAATAAAAGTATGGGTTGAGGAAAAGCCTGTCAGGTATTGAAGAGAAAGATCACAAGCACACCAGTATCATGTTCAGTATTCTATCTTCTGCTGNAAACATCTGCTGCTACCTAGGATTGAACTCTCAACCTAATCATTAAACCTATTGTTTTTATTATCATGTTTTCCCCAAAGTATGACCTACCCCCCAAATAAGCCCCAGCCTGTTTTTATGCATGCACCTAATATAAGCCCTCCCCAAAAGTAAGCCATAGTGAAGGGTTGGGCATGGCCAGCATAGGAGGTGGCGAGTGCCCATGGGCCGTCAGTGTCTGGTAGCAGCCGCAGTTCGTTCAGCACAGGTGAGTTGAGTACCTGTGCAAGCAATAGACAGAGACGGGGTGGGGGAGGCAGGTGATCCGGATGCAATATTTCCTAGGAACTCCAAGAAATCAGACTGGATGTGGATGCATACATCTGAAGAATTATTCTACATTCCAAATATAAATCCCAATCCTATAATTAGACTGTTCAGAGAGAAAGGCAAGAGGCTAAATAGGTGGCAGATGGAGCTCTTGAAACAGAACCTTTTGAAGACTATACTTTACTAGCACATCAAGCATTATCTACCAGGCAGCTGCAGAGGCCCCAATGAAATTTCACGTAGTTGGGGAAATTCAGAATGGAGGACTATACCATGGTTAAATTTGGCCTCTTCTCTCGTGATGCTAAAACAGTTTATAATTTTATTTTGCCTTCTGCCATAGCTGTCTCTGAGCTCAGACAGAACTTGGCAGAAGCTTCTATTTCAATGAAGATAATGTTACTGTTAAGCTCAGAAGGCAGTTGAATATAATTTCAGGGAACTGCTTCACTCTTATTTTTCTTCATCTAGTACCTTTTGAATGCTGGTATTTAAATAAACTGAAGAAGACATTTCTTGGGTTTTATTCTTTGAATCAATCTTTTGTATAAACTGATCCTCAACTTAGTAATCGTATCAGCTAAAAAGAAAGATGCAGCTGGGTAACATCAGCACAAGGGTGAGAGCCATTTCCAAAAGTCTAGACCAGAATTTTTCAAACTGTCTTCTACAGATCCCTAGAACACTATAGGCAGTTATCAACTTATGACCATAACTAAGCCCAAATTGGTGTTGTTAAGTGGGACATTTGTTTTGCCCCATTTTATGGCCTGTCTTGCTATAGTTGTTAGTGAATCACTTCAGTAACACAATCTGACTTCCTCTTTGACTTTGATTGTCAGAAGGTCGCAAAAAGGATCACATGATCCCAGGACACTGCAACTGTTATAAATGTGAGTCAGTAGCCAAGCATCTAAATTTTGACCACGTTATTTTTTCCAGTGCTGTTGTAACTTTGAATGGTCACTAAATGAACTGTTGTAAGTCAAGGGCTACCTATATAACAACCAGCTGGGGTTCCATGAGAGAGTAGAGGTAAAAAAAACAACCTGTTAACTCCAATACAATAAATCTTCTGTCACCAAAACTATGCTTTTTGATCAGATTCCAGTTTTTTAAAAAAGAAA